GGGGGGGGGGGGGGGGGGGAAATTAGCCAACTAGTGTTTCAACTATCCAATAAGCTTTTGCTTATTGGATAGTCGACCAGTCGATTAGTCACTTGCATCCTTACCTTAGTTATGGAGTGTCTGGCAATTTTTAATGCTGAAGACCTCAAAACAGAACTTTACATTGTTCTGTAATTTTCATACAAGAACAACACTAACTGGCCATTAACAACATCTTAAGACAGTTCACTAATTTCTATTTTCTCAATAAAAATGACCTCTGCCTGGTGAAATAAATCCTGGGTAGTCTTCAGCAGCCCTTCTCCTCTGAAACAGACAATAAAAACAGAATTATTACCATGTACAGACGTAATTGCTTAGACTGATCATATAATAGTTACATGGTGAATCAAGGGTAGTTCATGTCCCTCTTTTATATAATATGGTATGCACACCTTTTCTCATACTAGAACTTTGTCAAATTTAGCCATTATATACAGCAAGTCTGTTTATCTGAATATAGGACTGGAAGGAACCTCCAAAATCACTGAGTACAGTCCTCTGGTATCAGGGCAACACCCATCATGTAATCCCTTTCACAAAAGATCCAAGTCTCTCTTCAAACCAATTAGGTGGTTTGCCTCTCTAACTGCTATTGCGAAGCTGTTCCAGAGCCTCACTTCTCAGATGGCCAGAAACCTAATTTCCAGTTCAAATTTATACCTGGCCCGTTTATAACTTTTTGTGTGTGCCAACATTGTCCTTTAGCTTTAAAAGCTCTTCACCTTTTCTGGTGTTTATCTCTCAGATATATATATCCCTCAACATACAGCAGAAATTCTTGTTATAAATCCTAAAGTGCATGACCTTGCACTTTGTACTATTAAATTTCATCTTATTTCTATTACTACAGTCCTCAAGGTCTCTCTCCCTGTATAATATTCATTCTCCTCTGTATTGATGCCTCCTAACTTTGTGTTATCAGATTTTATTAGCGTACTCCTTTCTGTGTCAACATCCCAAGACCAAACCTTGAATTCCACCAAAGCCAGCTAGTTCCAATTTCAGCACTATCTATTGGCATCTCCCCTGTAGCCAGTCAATCACACCCTTAATTCTTAAACTAATCTCTATTTTCTCCAGTTTAATAAGTTTTCCTGTGGTACTGTATCAAATGGTCGAGTGAAGTCCAGCTCTAATCTAACATTTCTCTGGTCTAAAAAATATCCAAAACAAAATACCAACATCAGTTTAAAAAAAAAACCTATCATATTAGTCTTGTACAATTTACGTTTGGTAAAACCCTATTTTTCATTATAACCTATTTTCCATTTATCTCCGTGTCTTGTTCTGAGGTTTTGCATATTACTGGGGTCAGAATAATGGGTCTGCGGTTATCCGGACAATTTTTTCTTAAATAAAGTACTATGTTTGTTGTTCTCTAATCATATGGTATCATTCCTGATTGGACAGATTAAAAATCCTTGCTATTGGACATGCAATTTCATGTGCCCATTTTTTTAGTACAGTAAAACCCTGTGTTATTCAGCACACTTGAGGATGAGGGCGTTCCAGTTATCTAAAAATTCCGGTTATCTGAGGGTCCCATCAACCTAGGAAAAACCAATGGATGATAATAATAGTAAAACTCAAGTTTTTAATATTGGTAGTTTTGTACTGAGAGGCAGTTGATCTCACGTTTCTATTTTGAGTTAAAGATGATTTGTACTTAAATAAAAAATTAAGCCAATCATGGTAAACCAAGCCAGGCCTGTGAGCCTGAAGATGTGACAATATTGTGGCTGGGGGCAATGCCAGTTAACAAAGTTTTCTGGTTAACAGGGTGCCAGGTAACAAAGGTTTAACTGTACTTTGGGATAGAAGTGATCACATCTCCCTAACCTGAATGCACTAAACTCTTTGGGTTTTGCTTCCACCTTGGCAGTAGTAATTTCTGTTTCTATACATGCATTCCCATTAGCAGTCAGGCGTCTGTCTGTTTATGGTGAGACTGCTTTAATGATAAATGTCTTTGAGGCTGAGTAGGGAGATGCTAATCAAAAGTCTCTTCTTATCCAAGAAAAATGGGGTTTGTGAACCCACTCAAGAGTTTGCACCATTTGGGCAGAAGGCTTTTGCAGGGATATGTAGGTGTGTGTGGGCAGAACACACAAACTGAAAATAAGCAAAACAAAGAGAGACGCAGACTTAAAAAGCAAGATAAGCCAAACAGTTGTAGGTGGGCACAGTGTGATCAGAGGGGGAAAAAGCTAGGAAGAGAAACAGGACTTTGTACGTTCCTCGTAAATAAATAAGTATTCACCAAAGAAAATACCAGACCATCAATTTCTAACTGGAACAACTCTAAAATCCCTGAAATTTGATCAACCCCTTCAGATAAGAAAGGGGCAACAGCCCTCATGATCTACATCAGTGGTCCCCAACACGGTGCCCACGGGTGCCATGGCGCCCGCGGGACCATTTGTGTGCACCCGCCAAGTGCTCGGAGCTGGCCTGGCCCCGGGCACGTGGTGCATGCATAGAGCCGGAGCCAGACACCAGCCCCAGGAGCGCCGCGAATTGGCTGCTCACGCCCCGGGCGCATGGCGCCCAGCAGGCGAACGGCCACGCCCCCTGGCGCCCGGCAGCCTCTAAAGGTTGGGGACCACTGATCTACATTGTAATATTTACTGAAAATAAAAAAAGTATACATTTAGTTTCATTATCCTTGATGTCTATCCCATCGTCACTGTATAGTGAGTGGCTTACTAGTTGTTTTAAATTCCTTTGTTTCAATTTGATTTGCCTCAAGTAAATATTCCATTATATAGCTGCAACTTTCACTAACTGACATAAAAGTTACATATTTAAATAAATCAGGGAAAGCAAATATTAAAAGCTGCTCAAAATATTAATCTGCCTGCACTGTATAAAATGTACATTTTCAATATCCTAACTAGTAGTCATTTATGTCAGCTATAACCTTTCAGATTTTTTAAGACTAACTCCAATCTAATCACCAATCCAAGAGGGGGAGATGATTACACATTAAGGGATATTTAAATGTAAAATCTAAACGCTATTTTTGTCATTTGTGTTTAGTAGTTAGCACAATGTCATAAGATGTTGAAGCAGTAAGTTTTTTCATTCTTCAATAAGTTCAGTAGCTGCAAGGGTTTATTAAATATCAAAATGGAAAAAATCACATCTAGACAGTGTAAGATACTTTTTTTTCTAGGAAGTTACAAACACGGGAATATGGGGTTATGAAATCCCTGCTGCAACCATAATTGCAGCTTTCACAATGTTGAAAAACAGAATATACAGGCAGTCCCCGGGTTACGTACAAGATAGGGACTGTAGGTTTGTTCTTAAGTTGAATTTGTATGTAAGTCGGAACTGGCTCCAGATTCAGCCGCTGCTGCTGAAACTGACCAGGGGCTGACTACAGGAAGCTGGAGGCAGAATTGCTCTGCCCCCAGCTTCCTGGAATCAG